AAAACCCACAGAACACTCCTAAGCACATACCCACCCTGCTGAGTTGTTTGTAAATAACAGGAGAGGTCTGCAGCGCCAGATGTCCCTGACTCAGTTGGGCTGGGTGAGGTCCCATAGCAACCCCCCTAGCAACCTCTAATCAGCATGAGACAGGGAAAATACCTGGGATGCCAGATGACCCCCCCAGTAGTTTATGGTGGTTGATAACATGTTGGGAAACCATGTAGTTTAGCATGTACACCCCTCGTGGCCTAAATCAATCAGTTCAAAGGAATCCCCCTCTTGTACTAACCTGTAACCCCTACCCAACTTGTTCCCGCTAGTGAATGTGCAAATCAATGTTAAGAGCTGTTGTTTGACTTTCCCGTGGTATGGAATGATTTGCTGGGTGATGTTGTGACGCATAGAGTATCCCCCCAAAACCTATAAAATCTCAATGAACAAGGGACCAGGACTCACTCCCTGGGACCGCTGCGTCGGGAACGGTTGTGAGTCCAGGCTCAAGATTGCAATAAAGACTCTTGTGTGATTGCATGGGATTTGGCTCCTGGAGGTCTATTGGGGTCCCACGAATCTGGCATAACACTAGAAAGAAGAGAGAGAGGAAGAGGTCCTGTCCTAATATCCCCTTTAAGGGCACGCCCCCAAACCCCAAATCCCTCCCACCAGGCCACCTAAAGATTCGATCACCTCACAGTAAGGCCATGACCAGGGACTGGGTCTTCATCATGTGGATCTTTGGGGAACTCTCAAGATCCAAACTGTGACAGAGCTTCCTCTCAAATCACCTGTGTCTGTGGTTGGGTGGGGACGAATTGAGATGACACAGAAAGACAAGCCAGTATCTATAACCAGAGACAAAGGAGGTAGGTCCTGCATCAGGGATGGCAGAGGACTTGCCTTGAAGGACAGTTGGAATTTCAGTAGGGAAAGGAAGAGAAAGGCTGGAGATGGAACGAGAAGAAAATTAGAACGTAAAGGAAGAAAACTCACGGTCTCTTCTGACGCCAGCCCTACCGCCCTGTCACAGATTTCTGTCCTTTATGACATCCTCCCTGGGCATCTCAGCAGGAGACTGTGGGAAGGTTCTTCCTTTTTAAAATATTATTGGTATTTACAAACTGCCCAGAGGAAGACAGGAGTGGGAGGCGGAGGAACTTCCCCTTGATGAGGAAGGGGATCAGGATGCCGACTGTGGCCTCTCTGACTCCTGGCCCAGTGCCCTCCCCACCCCAGCTGTCCAGTGAGACAGAAGGGGTCTTGGTGAGGTACATAGAGATCTGAGTCAGATGAACCCATCTGGACCCAGCTCTGAACTTCACTGTGTGCCCTTGAGCTTCACCTCTCTGAGCTTCCTTACCTACATTTGCAAAATGGGGCTAATAATGTTTATAGCAGAGCTGTCCGGTGAATGAAAATAAACATCACTTCTGGGATACAGAAATGTTGACACAGTCACTCACTAGTAACTCCTATCATTGAGATCATAAGATCATAATTATTCTCTCTCTCTCTCTCTTTCTCTCTCTCTCTTTCTCTCTCTCTCTCTCTCTCTCTCTCTCATTCTGTCT